CTCTCCATTTTTGAATTCCAGGCACACAGACCAAGAACTAATCTGCCCCCACCCCACCCACCAGTGGAAGTTAATGGTGGAGACCATAGCTTGATTTGGCAAGATCCTGTTTTATAATTTGGGGTCTAAGAACTACTGCTTTCTCTCTTGAGTTCTGATCTGGAATTAAGATAGCTTGCCCCCTGGAGGGAGGTCTTGAGAGCAGGCCTCAGAAAGGTGACCATGAAGAAGTAGCTGAAGAGACAGCCAGTGGGTGTATAGTTCCTGGAGCCAAATTCACAAAGAGTTCTCCCAAGGAATACTGGGCAGCAGCACTGTTCTTAGCAGTACTGCTGAGATGGTAAAGGACAGGAATCTGAGGCCTGCCCACTGACGCTGGCAAGGTGGAGCTGCTCAGTGACCTCAGCAAGAACTGGGCCAGTTACTTGTGCAGACTGGATTCCACAGAGACAGAGGAGAAAACAAAGGAAGGCGGTGGTCACCTTCGGCTCTTTGAAAAGTTTGACGATAAAAGGCAGTGAGAAGTGGGGTTGGGCCTATGAGGGCAGGACTTTTTCTAATAAAAGCTTTACAGTGTGGTTATACGTGGATGGGGTTGATCCAGCAGAGAGGGAGGAACTGAGGGTGAACAGAGGAGAGTGAGAACTGGAGAACAAATCTCTTGGGCCCATGAGAATGAGATCCAGCGCGGGAGGTGGCATTGATCAGGAGTAGAAAGGCCTTCCATGGTCTCTGCGGGGAGGCAAAGGATGTGGAATGAGTCAAAGGGTCTGGAGACCTGCTAAAGAGATTCCCAGCGTCTTGAAAACATTTCATCCTTCTTTGTACGTTCAAGTGAAGTCCCTGGGTAGGCACTCCATTCAGCTTCTCCTGCCTGCTTCTGTTCCAAGCCTCACTTTCCTAAGAGAAAATGAATAACTAAAAACCTCAATAGATGGTTACCTACTCCATAGATTTTATATAAATGAGCAAGGGCTGATAAGAAAGTAGCACACAGCCAAGCTCACCCTAACATTGATAGTGCTTAGGAAGAGACCCATGTGCTGTGCAAATCTGAAGACCTGAGTTCGAATCCCCAACACCCATGTCAAAAGCCAGGTGTGGCTGCTCTTGACTCTAACCACAACAATGGATGTCGGCAGGGGAACAGACACAGGTAGATCCTGGGAGATTGCTGGCAAGCCAGCCTAGCTAAAAGAGTGAACTGCCAACCTCCTGCCCTGCCAGTAAGGCAGAGAGCAACAGAAGACACCTGACACCCTCCCCTGGCTCACATGCATGTACTACACATGCATTGCCCCATCATACACAAACACACAACACATACACCACAACACACAGCAACAACAGCAAAGGAGTAGCAAATAGACGTCAGCTGCCTTTGTGTTGTTTCGTTGCAGTATGCAGCTCTTCTGTGAGCTCCCCGGGAAAGGCTGTGGTCCCAGCTTTTCTTCTAGACCACTGACTAGGCCAATCCACTTTCTCCTCCGGCTCAGAATCCTCCTCTGTGGAGGTCAGAATCACCAGCCTCCTCCAGCGCTATGTTTTGCTAACAGATTCAGTTATCCAACCCTCAGGTGCTAACCCCTAAAGTTATCTGGTAGGCAAAGAGAAAAAAGCTGTCAAAGATTGCCTAGGCCGGGGACCATCTACCAGGAAGTATCTTTGGCGCCATCTACTGGTGCATGATTTGCAAACTGCCTCCCTGAAAGCAGAAAGCGCCCTAAGGAACAGAAAACTGATTCCAGGGGGCAGAGAGCCGATGTCTCAGTGGGAAAAGCCATCCCACCCAGCATCGATTGAGCACACCTAAAATCCAGACAGCTTTAGAAACGTATATGCTAGTTAATTACTCACAGCATTTCCTGGGTTGCTATGCAATCTTCATGAAATGTTTAATAAAAATTTTTGCATGAGATCTGTGCACGAGTGTGCTCCTGTTCACACAAGGGTATAGGCCAGGGGTGGACGCTGAGTCCATTCCTTTGTCATGTTGCACCTTGTTCTTTGAGACGCAGTGTCGTGCTTAACATGGTGTTTGCCATTTTAGCTAGAGTGCCTGTGAGCCTCCGGGATCCTCCTGACTTTATTCTGCGGTTACAGACACACAGTAGCGAGCCCAGCTCGCACACAGATGCTGAGGACCCAAACTCAAGTCCTCATGCTTGAGAAGAAAGCACGATTACAGACTGAGCCATCTCCCCAGCCCCAGTCAGAGCAGCCAGTGCTCTTCACTGCTGAGCCATCTCTAGCCCCCTGCGGTGGTCATTTTTAATAGATGGAGACATTCTCCTGGGCGTCTATCCTAGCCAACTTGCTAAATCATTTCTTCTTTGTTAAATGTTTAGATTATTTCCAGTCACTGTGTATTACAAATAACACTGGCCTAACTGTTCTAGTGCACATACTTCAGAGTTTCCCACACATCGATTTCCAAAAGTAGAAGTTTAAAGTCAAAGGTCAAAAACAGTTTATGCCCTGGATTTATATGAGGAAACCATATTCTAAAAGAAAAAAAAAGTCACTCTTTCAATTGAAAAAAATTGTGGAGCCTCCCACTTTTCATTGCTCAGTCACCAGCCACAGATAACCTCGTTTTTTGTTTTCTAACTGTTGAAAATAAAACAGACCATTAACTTCCATTCTCCTTCCTTTGACCGCATCATGGAGGCTTAACATTGACAGTTTGACTGCAGCTTTATTGTGAGCTCTCTGTACCAGTCAGGATCTGGACAGAGGCTTACACTGAAACCACTCAACACAGAAAGTGTTGAGTGTATATTAGAGCGTTGAAAAGCAGGAAAGAAACAATAAGACTCTGCTATCACCCCCCCTGCGGCTGAGGAACAAAAGAGAAGAGGGAGCAGCTGGCTGGTGCTGATGGGCGCGCTGTGAGGGTAGTCACAGTGGAAGAAGGAAAGACTCAAGTCTGTGGCGTTCTCTGACTTAGCAAAAGCAGGACTATGGCTGCTTTTAAATTCCATTGTCAAATAAATGATGCTTTAAAAATTATATTAATGTTTCACAGGGTAAACCCATGCAAAATTGCTTTTATCCAGTATTCAAATGTTATTAAATGCCCTACGAAGACGGAGGCAATGCTGGAAATAGTGTTCTTTTCGCCCTCTGCGGCCTTTCAGTTGCTCTCTAGTGCCCCCTTCTGGCAGATCCCTGAATAAAGCCAGTTGGTAGTTGTTTGCACTTGAATCAGAGTAAGCTCAGAAAGTAATGTGTTAATTGGTACAGTCCACTCTCTTGTTCACTCAGCGTCCTTGCACATAATTCCGTTTGTATTTCCAGATGACAGAAGCAACTCTAACAAATGAAAACTGTCTCACCTTCTCCCCAAAATAAGAAGAGATGTGTCTTGACAATTACTGCAAGAGAGTCCTAACCATCACTAGGAAAATTAACTGGTTCTTCAAATCCAGTCACAATTGAAAACCCAGTTACCCCAAGATTAAAGAATTAACTTCCAAAAATTCATAAGATGATCAAGGGGAAAAGAAGGAAGGAAGAATTAGCTAACACCTTCCATTACCAATTGCCATATAACCAAGAAAAAAGTGTGTATGTCTGCTTGCTGGCTTCTTTAGCCAGTCATGATGTCACCTCTGCTCATAAAGCTCTTCCTCAGCCATTCCATGTTTTCTTGTCGTCAGACAGGACTTTACCTGGCCAGGGTTCTTCACTCAATAAGGAGGCCTAACCCTGCATTTCTGAAGGAAGGCCCTTGCTAGCAATAGTCCTGCCTATCTTCGGTTGTGTCACGTTCACTGAAACTTACTAACAAGCACGGAAATATCGAGATATCCCCGGAGGGTGCCTCAGTAGCAGCTGTGTTCTTCCTGCTGGCTGTCTCCCTCTTGGTTATTAGGATCAGTCCCCACAGCCAGAAAAACGGGGTCTTCTTTGCTTCCCAGTTTAGTGCACGGGAAGTCTCCTCAACTCAATAGAAGCTTGCTGTGATTTCTAAAGGAAGTTTTTCTTTCCTGGGAGGTAAGGCCTCTAATCAGGCAGAGCACAAATTCGAAACCACAGGAAGCGTAAATTCTGTAAGTGAGTTATCTGGTGGAATTGTGAAAGGCCCGTGTGTTCTGGCTGTGAGAGAAAGGGCACAATATATTGTTTGCTGTATCAGCTCATAGTTTACAGACTGTTACCATGCACAACCTTGTCACGTGGTAACATGGGCAGGTCATGACACCAGACACTTGGTGTCTTGTGGTCCCACCATGTCTCACCTTTAAATGTTTTTAACCCTTAAATGAATAATTCTATGGGCACCATGTCCTGCGTGACTCGGTCATGGAAACCTGACTAGGATGACAACACGAATGGAGAAATGATAGACAGTGAAGGAATGACAGACACACAGAGAGAGACCCAGGGATTTGATGTGCTAGATTCACCGTGATGGAGGGCACCAGGATTACAGAGTGAGCAAGACTCAGCCTGACTATTATGTACAGCCCAGGAGAAGGGGTTAGTTCGTCTCCGTGGGAGGCCTCTGTGGGGCAGTCTCAAGCTGTAAACATGAGGGAGAAGAAAGCTAGAGTAGATGTTCATTGTCCCACACAGACCAGGGGAAGGCTTTGTCCACTCCCACGGAGCTAAGGTACTGAGGTTCCTGGCATGGCTGTGCCCATGTCAGCTGTACCCATTCGCTCTGCATTCCATCCACTGCCCCCACATATGGGGAATCACACTTCATTTTGGGCATCGATTAATTACCCTTTTACTTCATTTGGTAATAATAGAAGTAGCAGCTCCTGGCTAGCTGGCTGTCTCTCCCACAGGTAAGTAACAATCCCAGGTACCATTTTCAAACAGTTATTTACAGGAGAAGGGAGGAGATGGAACTGATTTACCTGCAGATAGGATTTCTTTAATTGTCAAGGAGCTTCTTCTCCCACAGGTCCTAGACGTTGGGAGCTCTGCTTAAATGTTGGGGATTGAGCGCTAGAAGCTGTAGATTGATGTGGTCCGCTCTGTTGCAGGGACAGCCTCTGTAGCTGTGGCAGGGATCCTGGCCGCTCTGAGAATCACCAAGAACAGGCTCTCCAATCACGTGTTTGTTTTCCAGGGTGCTGGTGAGGTAAATACTGTCAGAAGGGCTCTACGGCGCTTTTTCAAGAACAGTAAGGATGGGTGGCGTGGCGTAGTATTCACGGGGAGGGGTGGTCTGGGATTCTGACTAGAGGAAGCAGTACGAGTGTGTTCTGATCATTGCGGCTTTTTGAGTCTCAGCGTTTGAGTTTCTCAAAGTACAGATTTAACTAGGCTGCCTAGTAATTGTGGGGCTGGCGGACAAAAAAAAAAAAAAAAAAAAAAAGAAGGGCTCTGTTTGGTAAAACATCTGGTGTGTGCTGAACAGCTGTGTGATCTGAGTCTAAACATCATCCTAATGCTTCCCCCCTCCCCCAGGCAGCCATGGGCATCGCCCACCTCCTTGTCATGGCACTGGAGAAGGAAGGTGTACCCAAAGCAGAGGCCATAAGGAAAATCTGGATGGTGGATTCCAAGGGTCTCATTGTCAAGGTACTACTGTTTGGGGCTGAAAAGCTAGAGGTTTCCGCACAGCTAGAGCTGCCAACAACTAAACTGAAAGAGTTCTCCAGCTGGGCATGGTGGTGCATTCCTCTAATCCCAGCAGGGAGGCTGGGAGGCAGAGACAGGTAGATCTCTGAGTTTGGGGCCAGCCTGGTCTACAGAGCATATTTCAGGACAGCAAGGGCTACACAAAGAAACCCTGTCTCAAAAAAAAAAAAAAAAAAAGGAGGAGAAAGACAGAGGAAGAGGGAGGAGAGAAGGAGGGAGGGAGAGAGAGAGAGAGAGAGGGAAAAAAAGAGAGATCTTCAAAGGGCAGAGTGCTTAGAATGGAAAGCATAAAGAAATTTCCAAAGTAAAAGCTTTAATTGCTGTTGTCCAAAAGTACTGAGGGGTGTGTGTGTGTGTGTGTGTGTGTGTGTGTGTGTGTGTGTGTGTGTGTGCCTGCATGTATGGGTACCTGAATACCCCCTTCAGTCTTTTCTACTATCACTTCCTGCCTTGGGTTAGTCTCCTCCAAAAGACACATGTTCTCGCCCTTCCATAATTTTGCACATCTTGCCATCCTCCGTCATTCCAGAGAACGGTCTCTTCTGAGCAGGTTACCAGACACTGGTGACTCCTCTTACTTGCTCATTTTCCAGCGTCATTTCACCCTAATAATCCAGGAGCGGTAGGCTTGGCATCATCGCTCTGGCATTCCCGAGGCCAGCTGGACCAGTCAGATTGCACTCATTTACCAGAACTTGGGCCAGCCTGTCACTACCAGGCTTCTGTTTGAGGAGATGGAAATACATCTGGATCTTCTCAAGCACAGATGGCATGATTGTCCTATCCTAGACTCAGCTTCAAGATGCTCGCAGGGAGTAGTGGATCCTATTAGGTCCATTCACATTAGCTCTCTGGTACTAGAGCTCAAGCCCCTGTCCTGCCATGAACCTGTGGACTGCATTTTTTGTGGCCAAGGGATTCGATGAGGCTAACGAATATCCCAGGAGTCTTTCTATCCTAGCCCAGGAAGCCATAACCCCCAACAGCTAAAAATAAAAATAAAGGATGATTTATTGAGTCGTCTTCTGTGTGGCTGGGGAGATGGCTCGGAGGTTAAAGACACTTGTTTGTTCTTTAAGGGGACCCAGATTTGATTTGATTTGATTTGATTTGATTTGATTTGATTTGATTTGATTTGA